AGTTGGCAGCGCGTTTGATAAATCGAATTATATGCTACATCCGTCACGACGTGATTTTATTTTTCCATTATACAAAATTGCAGCGATGCAGCTTTTATGCAATATATATAGAGCCGCGCTGTTGAACCACTGCCTTGTTGTCGGTTTAACGATGCATTAACGTGTGTGTGTGTGTGTGTTTATGTGTTTGCATGCGCCGGCAAAATCTGCTGCTTCGCCCAAAGATGGCTGTCAAACGCAGCGAACGAGCGAGAGATAGCGAGAGAGAGAATACAAAGCGTCCAAGCGAGCTTATACAGCCACAGGGAGCAGCTGCGCTGCAGTGTGTGTGCAATTCTAACAGCAGCAGCAGCAGCATAGGCTTTTGTGGCCTTACTGAGCCGGAAGATAGAGGAAAGAGAGTGAGCGAGAGTAAAAATAACTTCCAAGGGAAAGGTCGAAGCTCTTCTCATTCTCTTGCTTCTTCGCTTCGCGCGTCTCTGCTTTTTTGCATGCGCCCGCGCTGCTATCTTCGGTACTACGTTTATTCTATATACGTGACTTTGAATCCGTGTGCGCAAGCATATGTAAGTGTGGTGGCGCACGAACACACTTGTCAGAGTAAATCCAGTCTCGAGCTCTCTGGGCAGATATACGTTATATTGTGTTAGACTGTTTTGCGAGCGACTCCGACTTTTGCCGCGCGCGTGGCAGAGTCTCGTTTTAGTACTTTATTGGCAGCGAGGAAGGAATTCGAAGTTGACGCGCACTCGTGTTGCGCCAGCAAGCCACATAGTGCACTTCGCGAAATTCCAATAGGTACGGCAGCATACGTACGAAAACTTCAACGTCGGGCGTTCTAAACCCTGAGTAGAAATGCTCAACATTAATATTGACCCGATGACCAAAAAATAATCATTGAGCATTTTTGAAAATGCATTATTAAGTAATGGACTTGATTTTGGATATGTTTTTGCTACAATTATGTTACAAATATTAACCGCATTTTAAATAAACGAAAAATAACAATTAAATTTATCAAATGTAGGCCCTTTTTATACCGCTTTAATTTTCATCGCTAGATGGCGAGTACCATCATTTGTAAAATTGCAAGTGGCAAAGTACCATATCCATAAAATATAACCACTGGCTCTTGTCTCTATTTCTATCATCATTTCCGAGTTTTTCTTTCTACAATATTCAGAAACTAATCTCTTAACTGTAAAACTAGATACAGATAGCGATAGTGATCGAGCACAGGCTATAGATGCTAATAGCAATAAACTAAATATTGAAAGTATAAAGTGTACTGTAACTACACAAAATAAATTTAGGGACTTGTTTGAATAGCTATTGGCATGCATCATATAACAAAAAAAAGTAAACTTGGATCATTACATTGTGATAAATTGTTTAAAAAAACGTTACACATTTTTTTCTTGGTATATGTTCAGTTTTCGAAACTTTCGTTGGCCAAAATCTAAGCATAAACATCGAGCATAATCAACCAGGGTCTTTTTCCTCCAATTTATAAATTCTACAGTTTTCCCCTCTTTTTCTCTAATTCATAAAATGGAGCCAATTTTACGGATTAATTAAAACGATGATTATATAAGCTCTCTGTATTCAAAAATTAAGGTATATCATAATACAGTTGATTGCGCCGCGCCCGCGCGCTATTTTGTCATTTACTAAAAGAACGTGTTGGCTTTTCTTCCACCTCGGAGTCTTTCCTTTCCTTTCCTTTTCCCTTTCTTTTTTTCTCTGTCGCTTCTACTACTAGTACAACTACTAGCGCTGCAAAACAAACGAGCAGCAATACCTTTCACGAATGTTCTCAAAAGCATAAATTGCATCTCGCGCGCGCACTCGGCACGTCGAGTGTGCCGCGGCAACAGCGACGCGAAGCCTGATATAGAAATATGTACGATGCGTACGGGCGCGCGACGACGCTCTTATGTATATACACATTATATATAGATATGTATGCAACAGCGTATGGTATATATACGCGTTATACCTATATATATATATATACGCTAGAGCCTGACTCGACTCCGCCACGCTCGACGCGCGTGCATATATGCGGGGGACGACGATCGATAAAACGAGTACAGAGTCCTTTTCGGCCCAAGCTACGTGTATAGGCTAGGAGAGCCTCGCCTCGCTGCCATACGACTCGGAGAAACAAATACTAAAGAGCGCACGAGAGAGCGCAGATATATACCTTATTTAAGCTTATCACGTGAATGTAATTTTCGCTAAAGCCGGGGATAAGCTCGGTTCGCCGCTCCTCTCTCTCTCTCTCTTTCGACTTCTGCTGCCTATGCTTCTTCTTCTTCTTCTTCTTCTTCTCATTTTGGCAATTATGCGGAGCTATTACGGGGCTTGCGCGCGCTAACTCGCATGCGTATTGTCGCTTCGCTGGCAGCAGCAGCAACGGTAGATAAAAAATACAAAAAAAAGTAATTATAGGAAAAAGGGCGTGCGAGAGAGAGAGTCACACAGAGAGAAAGTATATCCGAGAGCCGCGCGTGAAAAACTTTTTATCGCGTAGCTTACATACGGTTCTCTTTCGGGGAAAAAATCGTAAGTCAAGCTTCGCTTCCTACGTTGTTTTGTGCTTTTTTGCATGGCTGTGGAAAATGATATTATTCTCGTACATGCATAAAGCATACGTGTGTGCGCGTGAGTCTAGGCCGGGCAGGTGTGTAAGCCGAGATAACGAGCAATTTTCAGCACGCGAGCAACAGGCGCTTTTCTCTCTCTAAACTAGCTAATGAGTCGCCTACTGCGCGACGTAAAGCACAAAGAGAGAGAGGGAGAGAGAGAGAAGAGCTTTTTGCGCGAGCTTATTTCTCTCGAATGACGCACGGCCTGCTGCTGCTGCGAGAAAAGCTCGCAGCGGCGTTGTTGGTATTATTCGAATTGCAGTTTACGCGTGTGTACGCAAGCTCCGTGCATAATTAATCGAGAGATGCCACCACGGGCTTAAAGCTCTATAGCTGAAGCTCTAGCTAGCTAGCTAGTGGCGAAATTTGATATTTTTAATCGTCGACGCTTCTCTTTCTCTCTCTCGTGTATACACAAAAGCTCGAGTGCGCGAAAAGAAAGAGAAAAAAAGTAAACGAGGCTGTGCTTTCTTGCACGCAAGGGGGTTCCGCGCGCCACTCGATGCCTTATACATATAGAAAAAGACACGTGTAAACAAATGCCCGCACTGAGCTCGCCTTTATGTGCTGTAGCAGCTGCTCCGTCGAATAGCAGTAGTAGTAGTAGTAGTAGTAGTAGTATAAGAGTGTCGCCGTTCGGTGCGTCGTCCCTCTGCCCCTTTATACTTAACGGGGATCATCTCGGGGATGCTCCTTTGATATCCTTAATCTGGCCCAGGATCAAGAGTCTCGCCGCCGCCTTCCCTTCTTCTTCTTCTTCTTCCTTATACCCGAATGATCGTAGTACTAGGTAGCAAAATCTTTCGAGACTACAGCTAGGTTGTGGCCCTGCGCGTGGTGGTGGTGGTGCTGCTGCACGAGTCGGCAATTTTCACTGAACGCTTTGCTTACTTTTCTCTCTTTCGTGCGAGGCTCTATACCCTCTCTCTCTCTGCTTTTAACTCCGCACGTTTCTTCTTTTGAAAGCTCGGCGGCGTCGACGCCAACGACGACGAACGCAAGTTTTTGATGAGGCACATAGAGCACAAGCACAAGCTGCCTGCCTGCAGCACATTGAAAGAGTGAGAAAAAGTTGTCGGAATACTCGCCCAGCAGCAGCAGCAGCAGCAGATCGATCCCGATCGAGTTAAGAAATGTGCAAAACTCTCGGCGAAGAAACTATAACTTTTTCTCTCCCTCTGTGTACAAGTTTTTTTCCAATCTCGTAAGTTGCATAATGTATCATACTTTGCGTCGTAACGAGTGGAACGCTCGAAGGGTTATACACGTTAGCTGCTGGGGGGAAAATCCGATGAAAGCCCGAGTATGTATAGGAGATACGCACATTTTCATCGATCCGCATCGAGGCGCATACACAGACGAGGTATATATGTAACACGCAGAAATAGGCAGCAGCTAACGCCTCTCTCGCTCGCGTGTCAAGTCGCGAATGCGCGCGTACAATACCGGCGCTGCAGATTATCCGCACAGGAGCGCATCAATATGTACGTACATCGGCGCATTGGATGAAACAAGCTTCGAAAACCTAGAGGAGAGAGAGAGAGGATAAAGGCACGTCGTCGCGCGACTATATAGCTGGCTGTTGGCTTCTGCTGCTGTTACGTTATAGTAGTCTAGTATAGGTACCGTAGTCGTGTGCTCGAAAATTCACGCTTGATAAAGGGGGAGCAGCAGCGGCGCACTGACATTCGCAATACAGTCTCTCTGCTGCGTGTGTAGCAGCAGCAGCAGCAGCAGCAAGAGGCTGTTGCGTGTATATATATGCGTGCGAGCGAGCAACCAGAAAAGCTCAGGGCTCTCTCTCTTTTGTAGGACTGCGTTGCGTACGCGTATAGGGCGAGACCAAAAGAGAAAATGAGAGAGAGGATGAAGCTTTTCGGGTGAGTCATCGACTACTGCTGCTCTCCCCTCCACGCCTCACCCTCTAGATTTCCGCTGCGAGCTTAGTCTACTGCGCGCCGTCCCTCTCTCCCTTGTTTTCTTCCAGTGCTGTGTGTGCATGTATGTATGTACGTGGCATATGAGCAGCCAGCAGCAGCAGCAGCAGCATCCCATTCGATATTTATTTCGGCACTTTTCATGCTCTATTTATTTTTCATGCTTTTTCGATGCTGGCCCATCGATAGTATATATTGCCTGCAGTACGTTAAGCTTCGATTGTCGTGAGATTGAAATATCATACACACATCGAACGCGGTATAACGTGTATGAATATATAGGTACGCGCCGGCGATAAAATAATGCTTTCCATGTATGCCGTGTGGGTCCATGACTGCTCACTCTCTATTGTGTGTATCTCTACATGTATATGTATATCGCTTTGAAATTCATGAAAATGTTCATTTGCAGACGACGACGACGACGAGGACGATTGTGAGGCCGTGAGAGAGAGAGAGATAACGAAACGATCGACGAGAGATAAAACGAAGCCGGCGCGATACGAACGCGGTAAGTAAATATTTATCTCCATATAGTATATAAAGCTGCTGCTGGATGCAATACATACATATATAGGCACAGACAGACAATGATGCTGCAGCTAGCAGCAGCAGCAGCAGCGAGTTTTACACGGCGAACGAGCGGCACAGCTCTTTATTATTAACCAGAGGAGATTATAATAAACCCAGCGGCTGTGCGGAGGAAATACTTTTCACTTATCTAAGCAAAAGTAAAAGCCGAGATATTCGTCTTCTTCTTCGTCGTCGTCTTTTACTTTGCCGCTTCTTCTTTTCGAGGTAGAGAGAGAGAGAGAGAGAGAGAGAGAGAGAGAGCGAACGGCAAGACTTATATTATCCAATCCACCGGTGAGATATAATTCGTGCCCCGAAGTTTTGAATTTCAATTAAATCTCATCTCGCGAGCGGTTGCCGCGAGCTTACTACGGCGCGTTAGTAATATATAAACGCGAGTATAAAACTTTATCAACTTGCGTGCACGTAAAGAGGAGCCCAAAAATAATAAAATACATAGCGGCAGCGGCAGCAGGTAGCCGCAAAATCTTTGCGCGCGGCTATTGTTTTTCCTCGCCGTTTACAAGCGATATAATATTCAACGTAGCGCGAGTAAGTGAGACGTGTTTTCTGTTTTTTTGTACTTTTTTTTTTGCTTTATTTTTTTGTTATTTTATCATCCCGTTATACCATCCGGTGCGCGCGCGTCGAAGCTCGCGCGTTCGTTCCATTTTAACGCAACGAGCTTTATTTGTGTATCGGGGCTTTTAACAACTAACTTTTTTTTTCTCCACCATCGCGAACTAATTGAGTATATGCTTTTTGCGCGGCGCAGGCTCGAATGTGTACACATAAACGCGTTAACGTGCAGAATAGATGTGTATATAGCACGGAAAAACTTTATTATTCCAGAGTGACGAGATCGTCGTCGCTCGCGCGAGTTCGAGCTTTTACGAGCCTTTGGCCAGGCTAGTAAACATAAATGTATATCTGCCCCGCTGCTCTACTCTCCGCTCGCTCAAATACACACTATAATAATACGTGCGAGGGTGTGCGTGGGTGTACGTATGTACGTATATGGGAGTGTGCAATTTGATGGTTTTTCTCTCTGTTAGCTCCGCGCCGCGCGCATTAGTTTCGCCACACTCTCTGCTGCCGTTGCGGGGCTGAAATTATATGATATTTTCTCGCGCAGCAGCAACAGTAGCATCGACGAGCTTTGGTTTGTAGTATTATTATTCGTGTATATATCGCAGCTGTGGCCGCGCGCACAAAATTGGACGTTCGATCGTCTAACGCGTAGATTCTCCTCTCCTCGGGTCGAGCCATTAACGATTATTGCCGCACGTTTTACGCCCGCGTGCGAATATATATTGACAAATTTGACGGCCCCAAGAACTGTTGTTTCGTGCGCACACATAACGCCGCGTCGTGGATATTTCGAGGCAAGATCCTTATATAGCCGATGCTGTCACTGCTACTGCTGCTGCTGCTGCTGCTGCTGCTGCTGCTATCGCCTAAGGGGATGGCGGCATCCTATATATATGGGCTTGATATGCGGGATTAGGGAGATCTTTCAGTCTCGTCGATCGGTAGTACAGCAGCGGCGACGACGTCGCAACTTCCTTGAGAGAGCTCATGCCGCTTCTCGCAAACCAAGCAACCCTCGCTTGCTCAACGACTACGACGACATACGATCGAGACGTATTTCGTGTATAATATATTATATATGTAGTGGCGACGTCGGTGGCGCTGGTGGTGCAGGCGAGGCTTCTTTCCTTTCGTTTCCTTATATTCTTTTTTTTCGCCTGTGTGCGAGAAGACACCAACGTGTATAAACCATATTTTTTTCGTAGTAGTATATATATCGTATCCGACGGGAGTAGGCATGAAATCGAGCAAGTTTTAGACGGCAGCAGACGCGCGAGAAAGTAATCGATCTCTATATGCATCCTGCTACTACGCCCACACTAAGCTAGACTAGCGCGTTTAGCCCCGATGTATTTTATCGTTCGTATACCCATCGTGTTGTACACATATAGAAAAAAAGAAGAGGAAGTTTTGTATACAAAGTTTTTCACAAAGGCAATATGGAAAATTCGACGTGGCAGCGGCATCAGAACCAGGTATATATGTATAGCGTCGACGTCGAGACGGGATTTTCTCTCCTCCTTTTTTTTTACTATTATTGCAACTACTATCTTTCTTTTATTTCGCAAGCCTCGGCGCATCTCGCGTAGTAGTCTCGTTCGTTCGTACGTACGTAACGATACTTTTTCTCGCGTACTCGCTATCGATCACTCGCGCGCGCGTATAGTACTCCGTAGTAAGGGTTACGTCCTCTCCTCCCTCCTGCGTACACCTATCGAGAGGCATAGAGATTCCGATGTGTGCGCTGGTATAGGTGTGATAGCTGCTGCTGCTGCTGCTGCCGTAGCAAGAGAGTACGATTTTTCAGGGCTGACTTGACTTCGCTGCGTGAATATTTGATGCGTATCGAGTCTCTTTCTCTCTCTCTCGCGTAGCAGCAGCAGCAGCAGCAGCCGTGACTATCTCTCTCATACCCTCCACGTGTATACTTATATATACCCTCTAACACCACCCCCGCAGCTTTTTCGTGCGCCTCAACGCGCCCGTTGCGCTTCTCACTCTCGCCGCCGCCGCCGCGACGCGTGCACATGATGGTACACGCCACTCTTCCAGCTTCGCCCGGGTGTGCATCGCTAATGCAACGCGACTCGCATATAGCGCAACGTAGGTACTGACAATTTCTCTTTTCCTTTCTCCAGCTTCTTCTCTTACTCGTTCGCTCGTTGGCGATAGAGAATTTTTCCTTTCCTCGCCGGTTGACGTATTACCGCGCTACGCGAAAGCGACGCACGAGGTGTTACAGTACCTATCGTATGTACACGCACGTGCGCCAGACCTAGAAAGCGTTAAGATGCGCGCGTGAAAAGTGTATATAATATCATACGCAGTATGGCATTTTTTTTCTCGAGGTCTCTCTTTTTTGCGAAAAAAAAAATATATTAAAACGAGTCGCGTGCTGCTTGAATTTCCAGTATCGCGATGTGGCCCTGTATTGCCGCACGCGCATATCGCGAAACGACGACGACGACTCGAGTATTTTTAACGCGATCGTGCCGTGAAACGTTGAAACGAGCCGCGCGCGATCGTGTACTTTTACTCCCATTTTTTTTGCGCTGCTCTTTCTCTGTATTCGCGAAGCGAGGCATGACTCGAATGTCACTGTACTGTGTATATATATAGGGGGGGTGCTGCGGTGATTCGAATAGGTATACGCGTACTTCATAACCGCGACTACTGTTGAAAACGAGGTGAGAGAAATTTTTTATGTTCGGCATTAACTTTGTCGCGTGTGTCATTTGGCGCTTTGTGACATTAAAAAAAGAGGCGAAAAAAAATATTATTGGCTACCTGTCCTGCCACTATGTGTGTATAGGTAATTCGATATCCCATTACAGGAGCTGTAAATGAGTCAGACAGCGTTCTGCTGTATGCGTCGTTGATGAAAAAGTCGATGAGTCGAAAAAATGCGCATTTATTTATGTTTTTTATCCCTCTCACTCCCTTTTTTTTTATGACGTATAAGGGGATTAATCAAGAGGGATTTTCTCGAACGCGCAGCAGCATCCGTCGCACGCGCCCTGTAAATACCAGAACACGTAATGAAGCGGCTTTGAGCTGCCGAGAGAGAGAGAGAGAGAGACGCGCACATACGCGCGTGCATATTTGTATATCGGCAAAAACATATTTACCACTACGCGACGCGAGATTCGAAGCTTCATTATTGTACTGTGCTCTGCTGCTCATACATGCTCGTCCGCGGGTAGATGCGTACGCAGCAAGATCGATCCCTTTTGTGAAAATCTGTGTATTTGCGAGCGCATACGCGTGTAATAACGGGTATACGTACTGCGCGCACATTTTGATCATTTACCCCCTGCTTCTCCGTCATTTTTTGTGTTGCGTTCGATTCTCGATTTCTCGCGAGTTCTGTATAAAATACAAATATCTCGTGCTCGTAATAATTTTTTTTTCCTCCTCTCTTTTTCGATTTTGCGCTCTTTGAAACTCGAGTATAGCAGCAGTAGTCGCGATCGTAATAAACAGTCGCGGGAGGTATAAAAATACCCTCTGCGATCCCCAATTACAATGTAAAATACAGTCGTGCGTGGCGCTAGAGGTTACGGGGATTGGGGAGTTTCTATACATGCACATATACACGCGTCAGAGAGCCAAAAATAATCATCGCTCGCTCGCAAGCTGCATTTCTATACGTGCGACGCGAGTCGAGCTATACAACTCGCGGCGGGGCAGTGATTTACGTGTGTATCGCGCATAATACCCACTACATAGACGGCCCCTAGCTGCATTGGAGCTTGCAGCAGCAGCCATAGGCCACAGTTGCATTAACAGTAGCAATTGCAACAGCAGTGGCAACAGCCACGACTCGGCCCGGACGGATGTGTACATTAAAGCGATTCTATTTCGCATTGCGTACAGTTCGAGCTCGTACACTATATACCGTGGTGGTAGTGACGATGGTGACCATGTACGGGAGATCGCCTCGTCGAATGTGTATATAAACATATGTATATAGAAGCGCAGCGGGCAAACTCTCGAGTTTCAGCGGTGGCCGTCGCGCTCGCCAGTAATGGGATTGTCGAATGACCGGCGTACACACATATAAATAGAGGCAGAGAGGGACATTGGTAATAGGCACGAGATTGCGATCGGGCCCGTATACAGATGCGTTTCGTTGCTGCTGCTTCGACGTACACACGCACACACACACTCACAGGCAACTATATCGATCTCCGTCGAGTTTGCCCGCAAATTGACACTTATCGGCGCAGCAGCGCGAATGATTGCTTATACATACCCGTGGTGGTGTAAGTGCCGTTGCTGCCGTGGATGGCTAAAATATATATTGCGTTTTTTTTTTTGCTCGTGCACCCCCTTATAAGCGCGGGA